CCCACCCCCTAGCCGCATTCACCTGCCAGCTAGCTTTTGAAGCCAACAGGTGAATGTAAACAGCCGGGACCAATAGCTGGCAAATTGCAATAGCCATCAGCAGACTAGCTATTGAAACCTCGCCCACTGAGCAGTGGGCAGGTACAATAGTCTACTATTGTAGTCCACAATGGTACACTGAACAGTGGGCGGGTACAATAGTCAGCCTGCTATTGGCTATTGCAATTTGAAATAGCCAATAGCAGACGGGCTATTGCTCACAATTGTTTACATCCCGCTGCCGACCGCGAGATGTTTGCAACTAAGTTTACATTTTTTAGTGTGCAGCAAGCAACCAACCATTTTTTAGTGTGCATCAGGCCACCAGCAAGAAAAATAATCAAGGACATATTATTTCCTTGATTTTTTTTGCCGGTTGCTTGAGAGTTCCGGTTGCTTGAATGCCAGATAATGGGGAGTTTACTGTATTTCTATATTCAATTTCAATAAGTTCTATCCCACTCTTAATAAACAATCTAGAAGTTTGTAAACTTTCTTATTGAAGATGTGCATAGGATATGCTTCCTCAATGCAGTGGCACCATTTCACCCAGCCCTGTAAATATGCACTTTCTTGAGTCACAACTCTCACAGAGCCTGCCTTCTGAACTACAACTCAATGTTTGAACAATGTAACATTATCATTGCTTGCTGGACGCAATCTATGACTGGACATGACTTGAGAAATTGAGATTGCATTACATCAAGCAACAGGGAAAAGAGATGCAAGTCACAACAGGAATCAGGGAAATAGTTGAAAGTGATGGGCAGACTGAAGGCAGCAACTATATAAAAGGGATTTTTTTCAGGTAACCTTTGATTACATTATCAAAAACAACTCTAGTATGTATTCCTATTACAATGCTGATGTAATAACAGGATAGTATATGCTGGGGTGGGGCAGAGCATCACCTTCTGAACTCTTGTTAGTATTTGCATAACCAAGCAATCTACATGTCAATGCTCCTGGGCACCTTTGGAAGAATGCTGATGTAACATGCAGATCCTTATCCAGATGACAATTTACTAATGCTAAGGTAATGAGAGGTGCACTTGAAACTTCCCTAAAAACTGTGAATGTGTAGGATCACCAGTTTATACTACACTAAGTTGAGTTTGAGATAATCCACACATACGGAGATGATGTTGGTCCAGATAAATGCATGTAAATAAAGTGGTACCTGCATAATTCAGTTTTTACCCTTTCGCTGCCAAAGCCATTTTGCATTTTTTTAACACAGGTTCAAATGCATATTTTAGGCCTCAAAATTGCTTAAACCTCAAAATTATACATTTTTTTGAAAGCAGAGACCCTGGAGAATAAAATGATGGCAGTTGCAATCGCCAATGTCACACAATATTTGCGTAACTGCTTATCAAACCCAAATTTTCAGTAAAAAATGCATTCAAATTAATTTTAGTGCACACAAACACAAAGATAACAAACTTTTTTTGGCAAAAATATAAAAACCATGGTTATGTCGAGTAAATAGATAACCAGCACATCAAGCCTCAAAATTGAATGCGACCGTAAAATGGCGAAAACTTTGGTACTCAAAATTATTCATAGGCAACTCTTCAATAGTCTTTACAGGTCATTGGTTTATAGTTAACCATGAATACTGGCCATAGCATTAGTGCTCTCATTCTGACGTGCATGACAAAAACTAACATGTCCCATAATGCATTGCCCATGTTCTCTACTGTGCGTGCGCAGCAGCTATACTGGGCATGTGCAGCGGCTGTACTGCCACTTTAACTTTAATAATTTTTTCGTAACTTAGGTTTATTGCTTTTACATAGGGGGCTGACAAGTCCCCTGGTAATATCACAATGGAAGTGACATCAGTGTAGCATTTACCACACATCTCTTTAATGGGACATCACTGTTTAATGTTTCCCTTGCACTTCACTGAAGCACATCAAGCACAGATCATGCTTGATCAGCTTTTTCCCCCGGCGGCCAAGCAATTACGGCACTGAAATGAAAATGCTCATGGCTTGCAGGTTCATTCACCAGGACAATCAGCAAATGTATGTTCACTGATCCTCCTCCACGACACCTACCATGGCAGGGTCACCAAACTCTTCAGACCCTTTATGAAGTTTCACAATGTTCATAAACCCCCAAACATTTAAAATACAAGTATACAGTATATAGATCAAAGGTTATGTCGTAGGTTGTATCATGTCATCAAAGTAAGACCTTTTAACATAATAGGCACAGTGACATTGTTTCATTAGTAAGCAAAGCTATGAAACAAAATTTTTAATATTCTTGTGAATAGTGCCAACACTTTCTCCTGGTATAAGCAGCTGCCATTATGGCTGTTACAACTTTTAATTTTTGGTAAATGCACAGCAAGCCGTTCTTTGGCACCACTTAACACTATGAGAGTATTCACTGGCTCGCAACAGAATATGAGGTGGGGAGGTAGCTTAGTACAGGAAGCCTATGTATATCCTTTTCAGAAGGGGAGGGTGGAAACAGAGGCGTAACTAGAACCTTCAGGGCCTCGATGCAAGAAACCATGAAGTGCCCCCCCCAACCACCATGGCACCGCATAGTTAACAGGAAGGCTGCTGAGGTCCCCAACAAGCGCGGGACCTTGGGCAGCTGTTTGTTTAAAATTTTAGTGCGGTGTTCTGTCGAGAACGCTGTTCCAGTATCTGTGCTTGCGTAAAGACGGGGGTTACCGAGGAAACCGCCATTTATTTACAAAGTATTTGTTTGTAATGGTTAATTGTGACTGTTAATAATATGTCGTCCATGGCAGTAAGTGATGGGTGGCAGTACATGATGGATGGAATATTATTAACAGTCACAATTAACAATTTAAGCAAAATACTATGTAAATAAATCCCTGTTTCCTCTATAATAGTGGTATGCAAGCGCAGATGCTGAGGTCGGCAAATTCGACTACATCAGCGATCTCGACAGAACACCGGTATCTGCGTTTAGTATCGGGAAATTTTCACGAGTATAAGTACTCGTGAAAATGCCCAGTATTAACACTGGTGTATCCCTACTTAAAAATATAATGCATTGCATTGCTGTAGTCCTGCATAGTTGGTGCTATTCTGCATTGCTGTATAATCATCATACAGCAATGCAGAATACCACCAGCTATGCGGGACTCCCCCAAGTGATGGAACGCCAGGGCCAGGTTGCAATTGCGACCACTGCGACCCTGGTAGTTTCGCCAGTGGGTGGGAAGTCACTAATAAACAATTCAAAGCATCCTGGTAAAGCAGGCCAGTAACAGCACATGGCTAAGAGACAACCCAATGCTACTCTCACTAGTGGCTGACCATCCAATCCTGGGGAACACTGTCCCATTACTACACAGTCACCTGACCACTAGGAAATGAGGTAGAGATTTATAGAGACCCCCCACAAGATAAATTGACCACAATTGACCATCAATCATTTCCAACTAACTATTAACTCCCATTGTATCAACATAGTCCTATTGACTTTTGGGGTTCTTTGGGAAATCCTACTTTAGAATTTAGCATAAAGGGCTTGCTTTAGGAGCAAAGATTCATCAGATGTTGGTTGGAATTGGCAAAACATGTATCTTGTGTTTCTAACAATGAAAATGCTAAACAATGACTTTGCAATGAATGCAGATGGAAATACAACATCAGAGCTAATATTAGCCATGAGATGTGTTTTCATCCCAGATGGATATTTTATAGATGTGGTAATTATGTCACAGAGGTTGTCCTGTAGTGACCTACATGGGCCATCATGTAAAAAGTATTTGTCAAATCAATTGGGTGCATATTTGCCATCGCCATCAAGCATATTATGTAACCCAAATGTCTCCCTCTCAGATTTCCTGCTATAAGCAGATTGTGCAACGCAGAAACCTACAGAATTCAACATCACCTGTTTCAAACATTGCAGCATGTCCTGTTTTCTGCAGACTCTGTTTAACGCCTGTGATTTATTTTAATTATTCTAAAATCAGCAGAAGGATCAGAACAACACAAAGGGTCAAGAGGCAGCTGCCTGAAATAAAGCTGTCTCTACCTTGTGCAAGGGTAACAAAAAACTTAACTGTAGCTATATAATAACTAGTTGTTGCAGTAGTTCACCATCTGTTAGATAAAGTAAGCCGTTTCAGAAAGATAAAAACTACAGAAGTAACATAATACAATATACATCACAGAAAATCTTTATAACTTCAGGTAAAGCAATGTAAACATGATACATTGGAAGCTAATGTGCTAAATACAGTAACCTATAGCAACCTATCAAAAATAATGTTTCTGTGGTTTCAGTTCAGATTAAAAAAATCAAGTTTGGGAAAGCCACACTAAGAACTCTAAAGCATGTCATGACTGCAAAGCTGCACCCAGACTCCAGAGATACGAAAACTATAGAATACACTATGGCTGCCTCAGGCTCTTATTGTCCAGTATTTGGGATACTGATTCCAGTACAAAACACAAAAAAATATTCTTCTATAAGAGCAAAGCAAAGTTTATGATAAGAAATGCAAGTACCTTGTAGGTTTAGTTGATTCCTGTTTGTAAATATCAATGATATTTTCAACCAGCAGATTTCTTTGCAAGCCATATACTCCATGTCGGTCCAGGACTACTTCATGTCTACAGGATGGGCAACGGAAGCGACCTCCTGTGGCCACAGTGTTTCCTCCTCTGGTTGGTAAATATGGGTTGGAAGCCTATGTATATGAAAGTATAAACATCTTTATATAATTTTAGTCTTACAAAATGTTAACATTACACTTTTATAGTACTTAGCTGTCTCCATACTGGAGGAAATTCACAAAATTTGAGAAACTAAAGTGGCAATTCTGATGAGATATATTAAGGTAATTTTGTCTTTCATGTATGAATATAGTAGAAGCAGAGAATGACCTCACCAGGTAACTTGTCCCAAGAGGAGATTTGTGGAGCTGGATGTAGTAAGCTTAGAGGTATGAAGTAATCAAAGGCACTGCTTTTTTTCCTGTCCTCCAAGTGCTCATGGACCACTTTGGAGACCACAGTCTGTTGGGGCTGAGAATCCAGTGATATACAGTAAACGGTTGGAAAGTAGATTAGAAAATCTCATTAGCACTCTACTTCCAGTGCCAAATTGTTTATTATATTTACTTACAATCTAAACAGTCCCAAAACTCCTTCACAAATGGTTGATTTGTATGTATACGCACACCTACTGAAGGTTCTGGGACCCAGATGCCAACACCTCGAGTGTGCGTGTATACATACACATTATATATATATATATATAGAATGAGCATACACTAAAACCCCAGTTACAAGGAGCCAATTTACAAGTTGTGTCCAGCCAGTAAAACCTTATGAAAGAGGGATCTAAAAAGACAGAAGTCTATGCAGAAGACTAAAGGACTGTGCTTTCTCATCCTCTTCTCTACTTATTTCCATGCACGTGCTGCTAAAATTTACTCAAAGTCACTGATGTTCATCACTCTTAACATCTAATGATCAGAGGAACATGCCTAAGGATAAGGTTGTTCTCATCAGGGGTCCCACTTGTAATGCAGCTGGGTAACCCAGCTGGGTGGAGGCTAAGTCATTCTAGATATATTCAAGTCCCATGCTCCCACTTTGCAGAGGCATCAAGATCCTCTAGTTACTTACACGTGGGCAGTGGTAGCTGATTGGAGAGGGCCATCTCCCTTGACCTCCCCCCCCCCCCCAAAAAAAAACCAAGGCTATACCTGGTATAGAATGGGGCACACGTGCTTTTCTCGGGGTACCTAACTATGGTAGAAAGTGATAAATTCAATATTAAAATGTAAAAATGAAATTTAGCAGGAGACATGTAAAAATTTTAAGCACAATGCCCATAACTAATGTAACCTTCCTGAACTACATAATGATTTTATTAAGAATGTCTTGGCTAATCAGCTTCCAGAAGTTGCATCTATATTTCTATTTTTGCTAAAAAAAAAAATCTGTGTCAGGTATTTATTGCTATTTCCCAGTTGAGGAAAATTTCCCTTACTTCCGGTCAAAGTTTGACTGAGGGCTCTATGACAGGAAGTGAGGGGGAGTCTCTCCATTAGAGACACACACAGAGTTAAAACCTTTGTAAGGTATTTATTGTCTGCATCTCCACTGCGTGGATTTCACCTCACTTCCTATTCCAGTGACAGTGATATAAAAATATCATCAGTATAAACATCAGTATCAGACTAAAGTATAAAACCTTTGCTGTTTTATCTAGAACTAGGAAAAAAAAATGGTCTGCCGTGACAATTACATTTACCTGCGATTAAACATCATCATACGTTATATCATATATCATTATCTAGAATATAAAGTTTAACTTCCTATGTCTGCGTTGCTGGTATATAGCAAATGAAGAATAATGGCTGAAAATGAAGGCTTTGTACATCAGTGTAGCATTGACCACACATCCAACTTGGTTTTTTATGATTTTTCCCAGTTTTTGTTTAGTCACACACTTTTTATGATTTTTTAGCACAGTTTAATTACATATATAGTTATTTTTTTTTCATTCTGGATACTGTATACACACACCTATACATCTTTCTGTACTATGCAAAAAGGTTTAGAAGGAGTCTAACATACATAATACAATTATTAGTTTTATCAAATGAGGAAGCACAACGAGCACTGCTGATTGTCAAACTGACGTCCATTCTTGTCAGCCTCAAGGACACAGAACAATGACAACTGCTGATTCACCACAAGGAGTTTACAGTACTTAGCACATTGCTATTTTCTTTATTAAACAAGCATCATTCAAAAAGCCAACATATGTAAATCAACAGAAACAGCAACGAGGAAGTTTAAAGAGCTGTAAAGTATAACAATCAATCAGAATGTACTTTACAGATGTCAGCTTTCTGAAAGATAAATTCGAAATGGTTGCAGTGGATTACTGCACCCATCAAATTGCCCTTTATCCTAATAAATGAGACAGAAAATACACAGTGGTTCATATACAGATAATATTTACTAGCAACTAATGCATTTCAGCCATAACATATTTAATCATCTGTGCCTTTATCATAAATGCAATAACATTTTCAGTTTGATTTGTGATTTAATTGTAATATTACTCTCTGGATGTTATATGTTTTGGCTTTTAAAACTTCTTACCTGGAAAATGTCGCTGGCACATTTCCTACACAGATTATGCTGGCAAGGAAGGATTACCACTGGCTTGGAAAACATTTCAAGACATATTGGACAAATAAGTTGCTTCTCCAAGTTATCCATAGTTTGCTGCTCTTTGCTCATGGACTGGTAAGCTAGGGAGGTGCTCATCTCCTAGTTATTTTGAGGAGAGTAATTTCAGGAGAAATAAACTGCGGTGATGAGTTTCCGGGTCCTTTCTCTTCAAATAATTCCTGGACTTCTGCGATCAAATGTCCTATGAGTTTCCTCAGCTGGGTGACATTGTTTAAAGGATCATTTGAAAAGTGCTCAAGCTGTTTTTAGCAGCACTCTGTCACATGTTGCTATACTGCTCTGTCCATATATGAAAGTGACACATGGATAGATTCAGACAGCTGACAGGTCCCAAGGATGTCTGCGCCACATTCCTCACTGTGGGAATAGGGAGGGTCTGAGCAAGTGGGCAGAAGGACATCTGCAGCCCAAGGACAGCTGCCACTAAATGTGTCACCGAATGCACAATCGATTCTTCTGAATGGTGTTTTTTTTAAATTCTGGATTAAGGTGACTGTTTACCTGAAATGCTGGTCCATTCATTTAAACAGTTCACATTAGCAGAATAATTATTGGTGAAGATGTGGCAGTTTGGCTTCTATATTTATACAGCTCACGTGTATCCAAATCCACATGGTCATCAGACATAATTTTAATGTTAAATAGTATTAACTTTACATTTTTAATCTTGCATATTATTTTATTATTTAAGTCTTACCAGTTGTAGAGTTAAAAAGGTTATTG